CAATTTGGTCCCTTCCTCTCTGTAAAAAATCAATAAAATATATTAAAAAAAAAACACTTGTGCAGTATAGGGAACTCCATAGATTCTCTTAATTTGAAGAAAGTTAGAGGGAAAGGTACTAATTCAGAGTTCCTTGGGAAAATGTGTCACTTATATATTTTTTTATGTTTATTTTTTTAAATAAAAAACTGAAATATTTTCTAACCAGAAAATATATTTGGATCTTCTATCATTTTAACTCTAAAATATCAACTTAAATATTTTAAAAATGGTTTGGATGTTTGTTTTTAAATAAGTTAGGTTACTGGAGTTCTACATGTTACTGGATCACCTGGGGTAATTTTCTGATTGGAAAATTAAGAATTATAGTCAGAGGGGAGGACATGAGAATTTTTAAGGAACATATTCAATTTACTTTAGAAGCCGAACCTCTCTTATCATATGACTTGCCTACAGGGGAGTGAAGTTGGGGCAATCAGGCTGGAAAGAGAGCAGTTAGGTATTGATCAGGGCATGGTTAGGGGGTGGTCAGCCTGGCAGGCAGAAGCAGTTAGAGGCAATCAGGCAGGCAGGCAGGTGAGCGGTTAGGAGCCAGCAGTCGCGAATTACAAGAGGGATGTCCGACTGCTGGTTTAGGCCCGATCCCTGTAAACTGGCAGGACATTTTTCAAGGGGTCCCAAATTGGAGAGGGTGCAGGTCAGGCTGAGGAACACACCCTCCCCTACACATGAATTTTGTGCACCGGGCCACTAGTATCTATATAATTATATAATAACTATAATGAGTTGTTTTGGTAGAGAAATGGTCTTTGAGCACCCCCCAGCTCTTGCCTGCTGCCTGGGTTTCCGATCACTGTTCTTCCGTCCTTCCCCTTTTGCCTCCCATCATTGCGCGTATGCAAATTAACCACCATCTTTCTTGGCAGTTAATTTGCATATCGCCCTGACTAGCCAATGGGAAGCGTAGCGGAGGTAAGGTTAATCACCCTTTTTGTCCTTTATTAGATAGGATATAACTTCTATTGTAAGAATGGCCTTGTAATTCTGGAAAAATTGTTTGGTTCAAGGTATTTGCTCTAGTGCAGTGATATATTTTTTTTTATATAGTTTATTTGGTATCTGGGTTACCTAAACTTTTAAATGAATTGTGAATAGTTCCATATTTTTCAATATTTTTAAATAGTTCAGACAGTTTTCAAAGAGAAATAGAGACGAGAAAGCATATTTTATTCAGTACTATTGCCAACAGAGGAGAGAAACTTCAGTAAAATCAAACTCAACTCCCAAAACAACAAAGATAGATGGGGATTTATAGCAAACGCACAAATTAAGAGGATCAGTGGATGGAACCTACCAAAAGTCAAGTTTGGGGTGATTTTTGCTAAATAAAGACAGGCTAAGGACTTAGACATCAAGAGTAGGGGAATGGGAATTGGATTAGATATTAAGAATGGGGATTCTACCTAGGCTCACTTAGCAGGATTCTTGCTAAAACTGAGCTCCACAGGCCAAGGACAGGGCCCAAGAACCAGGGCTAGTAGAAAAGAGGGTTCAGAGGAACCTGTCTAAAGTTTGGTCTTTGTCACAGCAACAGAAACAGAGGTTATTTTTAGAAAACCAAGTATTACACTCTATCATACTGATCTGCCCCCAAAGTCATGTACTTCTCCAAGTTCCAGCAGCAGAATTAGCTGAAACTAACTCTGGCCACATATTTAATTGAAGATTTTGTCTGCATTGTGCACAGTGATAATTTTGAAGCCCTTAGAGCAGGCTAGGGGAGGGGACACAGTAACCACCATTCATGGAGTGCCCACTATTACTCCAGACGTTACTACCTCTTCTCATTCTTCTGACAACTGCAAGAGACTCTTCTGGGTTCCCCTTACTGCAGAGGAGGAAAGTGAGGCTTAGCCAAGGCTGTCTCCTTCTCCCCTCCCAAGGATTAGAAACGCTCCGGCTCTAACGAAGGGCTCCTTTCGGGTAGTCCGGATACGGTCTCGATACAGACCTCTCCAGGCTAGGCGAGCGGCAAACCCATCGTGGGAACCAACGCGGTCCTCAGTTCCTCCATCGGCTGGAACCGCCCCTTCCCTTCCGCCCCACCCTCGGGCCTGCGCTTGGCGCACGCCGATGCCGTCCACTACCCAGCTGCCTTGTGGGAAATGTAGTTCGGTGTCCAGGGGAGGCGGCGGGTGGGACGGCGTTCGGCAGAGGCAGCTCCCACTCAAGCTGGGTGAGGGTGAGGGTGAGTGCGGGGCAGCGGCTGCGCGCGCCGAGTCTGGCCGGGTGGCGGGCGCTGGGCGGAGGCCCGGGTGGGACGAGCCCTGGACGTCGCGCCAAGTGAGGTCGGCGCGTATGGGCTAGGGCCGCTTCTTGCGGGTCCTTGCGCAGCGCCGGGCTGCTGGTTCCAGGTGCGTCCCATCTCGCCCCGGAGCCGAGCCGTGCTGGCGGTGGGGGGCACCCAGCCGAGGGTCACCGGACGCGGCCCTTCCCCACCTGTCTCAGGAGCGGCGAGTGCGGGCGTGGTGCGGCGGCCACGGTCCGAGGGCCAATCCGGGCCCCTGCCTGCGTTCCTCCCGCCTCGGCTTTCCCCGGGACCCGCTGGGCAGTTGGGGGGATGCTGCCCTCTTGCGGGGGCTCCAGGCTCCAGCATCGGCCCTTTGTGTAAACCGCACCCCAGTGCGCCCCCACTGATTTCCGATTCGAGGAGCGCGGCGTGGTCTCTCTTGGACCCGTTTCTTCTAAGAACGGGCGGCCAACCCTGTGCAGGTTCTTTACCTCAGAGAATCCTTTTCTCTTTCATTTTTATTTAAGCATTTTTTAAAAATCTTACAAAGAAAAACAAATATTCACAACCAGAAAACTCAGAGGAGCAAAGGGAAAAATTATTTGCAAACTGTCAAAATTTGCATGTCTACGTATATATGTGTTTGAACATAGAAACTCTGTTCTTAAAGCTATGGCTATTAATATCCTGTTGTGGGATTTAAAATGTACAAATCTTAAGCTCCATGGCTTTTATATTTTGTTCATGTAAGTACCACTCAGTCAACATGGAGAATAAATTTTAAAGGAAGTAAATACTGAAATTACTTATACCAATTTTTAAAAACAGCTAAGCTGTCATTTTAATGAGTGTGAGGAAAAGTATGTCTTTGCCATACTTAATCCTGCCTTTAGGCCTTTCTGTTGTTAGGTTTTGTTTTGTTTCAGTATTATAAACAACACGGGCCATCTGGCTACATTCTTGTCTCATTCTATAAATCCCTTAAAGTGACATTTCTGGGCCTTTATAATATATATGTATTTATATATATTTCAATTGATTTTAGAGAGGAAGGGAGAAGAGAGAGAGATGGAAACATCAGTGATGAGAATCATTGATCAGCTGCCTCCTGCCTGCCCCCTACTGGGGATGGAGCCCGCAGCCCAGTCATGTGACCTGACTGGGAATTGAACTATGACCCCTCCTGGTTCGTGGGTCTAGGTTCTACCACTGAGGCATGCTGCCTGGGGTTTTTGTTACCTCCTGTCTTATTTTCTCCAGAAAAGTAGCAGTTTAAAAAATTTGCAATGTAATTGAGCCAGAATGATCCACCCCAAACCTGGGTATTACTTAACTATTCTCTAACTTTTGGAGAGGTGCAAATTATAGGGTTGTTTAAATTTGCATTTTGAATATTAATGATTATTTTATGCAATTTGCTTTTTGTCCTAAAATTTTCTATCTGATGCACAAGTGTTTCCTTACTATGCACAAATGTCATATTTTCGTTGCCTTCATATTTGGGCCGTTGGCATCATTAGGCCTCCTAGTCCTTTATCATCACAAAAATGCTCACCTGCATTGTCTTCTAGTTCTTTAGTTGCATTTTATGTGCAAATTTATATTCTTTTCCAAACGTTAAGCCCTTATTCCAAGTTATTGAATAATCCATCCTTTCTTCACTGACCTGAATTTCACTTTTTTCTTATCCTGAATTCTTATATCTAATTTTTTTTCTGAATTATTTATGTTGGCAGGATTTCTATTTGTTCCATTGACTCTTTCCACCTATCTACACTAATAAAAGAGAAAGATGCAAATTGACCATGCCTTCACAATGCCCAATAGCCCATCAGGAGTGAGTATGCAAATTAACCCAACAAAGGTGGGTTAATTTGCATAGCAGGTCCAGAGCAGCTGGGGGCAGGGCGGGACGCTGGCATTCCACACTGCCCCAGCCGCTCTGGGCCTCTGGGCAGCGTGGGAAGGCAGAAAGGTGGCTCGAGCTCCGGGCGAAGGTGGAAAGGCAGCTCTGGCCAGAGCGAAGGCGGTGCTGGCAGCCAGGGGAAGGAAGAACCATTCTTGTCTGAATCTTCGTGCATCAGGCTACTAGTTAAATTATAACATCCAGGAGAGCAGAGAGATTTCCATTTTGTTTGCAACTGTATTTTCCTCTCTCCCCCTCCACACATATATACATAGACACAGGAATGGTGCCTGGTCAACAATATATTTAGTGAATGAGTGATTCTGACATTCAGTAACATTATATTCTACCGGGGGCCCAGTGCACGAATTTGTGCACCTTGAAAGGAACTGTGGGCAGTGAGGCTGGTCTCGGCCCATCCTCTGCACTTCCGCCTGGCCCACATTGTGCCCCCTGGTCCCCTGTCTGCTGGGGGCCCTGCCCCTGCCACTGCTGCTTCATGTGCTGATGGTGCCAGCCCTGCTCGCACCTGCTGACGGCACAGAGCATTTGGGGCCAGCGTCTGCAGTGGGTGCAAGCGGTGGCTACTGCCCCAATCGCCCCTCAGAAGCAGGGAAAGATGGAGAAGCCCTCAGGGGCGATCGGGGCTGGCAGCCCCCACTTGCACCTGCTGACAGTGCTGAGTGATCGGGGCTGGCACTGGACTCCAGCTGTGGCACCGACAGCGGTGCAAGCGGGGCCAGCGCTGGCAGCAGGTGCGAGTGCCCAGTGGGATCATGGCATGCGGGAGCAAAGAATTTTCAGTAACCACCAGAGGCTTGCCTTGATGACAGCGACCGGTGCCCTGCCTTGGTCTGGTGCCCCCGCTCACCTGCTCCACTATACCTCTGCGACCCATGCCCACCATGTTCCATGCACTGCTGCCCGCTGCCAATACCTGCCATGTTTCATGCGTGCCCCCTGGTGGTTAGTGCACGTCATAGCAACCGGTTGTTCAGTTGTTCCACCGTTCGGTCTATTTGCATATTAGGATTTTATATATATAGATTATCATAGCTTCATCGTATCTGGTGGGCAAGTTTTTGCTCATTACCATTCTCTTTCAGAAATTTCCTGGCTGTTGCTATACTAGTACAACATAGTTAACTTTTAAAAAAATAATCTTTTTCATAATTAACTTTAAAATATTATTAATTTGGTATAATTTGATTTGGAATGTGTTAACTTTATGAATTAATTTAAAAGAAGTGACAAATTATTGTGACATCCTATCCAGGAATACGATATGTCTCTCACTGTTCATCTTGCTTCATATATAAGTCAAATAAGCTTAGTAAAATAAACAATAAAAATCATAGTTTTATGTAAATTGTGTGAACACGTATTTGTTTTATCTATAGGTATTTTATTTTTTGTTGTTGTGGAAGTCTCGTTTCTCATGGCTTCTTTTCCTCCTATCAGCTCTGCCTCCTCTCCCCACCCATCTCCTAGGCAGGACCCCACAAGAAGGAAGGAGAAGGCAGTGGATGCTGGGCCTCTACCATTGGGAACTCAGGTGAGGTTTTTCAATCTCAAACCTCTCCTTTACCCCTTTTTCCTATACTGTATATGGGTTTCACTGTAGAGGACAGGGCTATTGAGATCTCTGAATGTTGGATATTTTTCACAAAGCTACCTTCAGTTTCCCTCAGCTCTGTTCTCAGCTGTCACTTCCTTATTCAGCTGGCCTATTGAGCTCTTGGTGCTGGTCAAGGGTCAGAAAAGGAACAAACATTATATGAGAGAAGGTCCTGGTGCTTACAGGGCTATGGACTCTCAGAGAACATAAAAAGTTACATCTCTACAAGATACAGTCACGATGATTGTACATGAATCTGATAATAAGAATGAGTATGGTTAGGTACCCAGATTGTCAGTGTTCTAAGACCTGGAGAAGGAGAAGATCAGTGTGGCAGCCAGGAGAAGTAGGGTTGGATAGGGATAATGGGAGAGGATTTGCTGTAATGGAGTCAGAATGTCCCAAGTTTACTACTAAATCCTAACTTGACCATTTAATATCTGTGTTGTCTTGGGTAGGTGACTTGAGTTCCCTGAAGCATCAGTTCCTCATGGTCATGATAGAAATAACAGCATTAACCAAGTGTTTGCCACATACTTGACTTTGGTAACAATTTCACATGGCTTATTCCATTTAATAATACCTATTTCATAGGTTTGTTGAAAGTTCAAATGAAGTAATGTAAAAAAAAAAAGTGCCCAACATTGTTCCTGAGATGTTAAAGGCACTAGGTAAGTGTAGGCACCCTCTGCACCATTCTAGCCAAGTGCTTGGTATTTACTAGTAGAGTTTAGAGGTAGAGCAGAATGTAGCATTGACTGGTAGTGAGGAGTTAGTTACAAAGTTTGGGGTCAAGTGCCAGGAACAAGGAGTTAGTGTGTTGGTGAGGTGGTAGGCATGGGGGTGGAGGAGGAGTCACAGAAGTTTTGATAAAGGAGTTGGCATAAGAATTTTTCTAGAAAGAAGCAGTGTCCATCAGCTAGAGGAAATCATGGGACAAAAACAGTGAATGAGGAGCCTTGGTTTTTTTTGCACTGATTACTTTAAAATGGAAGCTGTACCCTGGCCAGCATGTTCAGTGGTTACAGCATTGGCCTGCTCACTGGAAGGTCATGGGTTCAATTCCCAGTCAAGAGCATGTACCTGGGTTGTTGTTTTGATCCCTGTCCCTAGTTGGAGAGCGTGTGGAAGGCAACCAATCAATGTGTCTCTCGCACATCAGTGTTTCTCTCTCCCTTCTCCCCCCTGCCTTCTACTCTCTGAAAAAAATCAATGGAAAAAATATCCTCACTTCTCTAGTGAGGTTTAAAAATAAAATAAAATAAAATAAAATGGAAGCTGCTAGTTTTTACTAGAACCTGGAGTTATTGCTTCTCTGGAAAAGGATATAAGACATCAGGCAGACTTGGCTCAGGAAGCACTAAGTTTTGTTTTATATTTTCTTTTTTAAGGTTAGGCTTTCGTAACTTTATAGTCCTGAAGGACTTTCAGTGTTTTCCTCATTCATTAGATCATGCGTTAGGCTTCTCTTAAATGTGTCACTTGTTTATTTAGCAAAGGAGCTAGTTTTTTTAAAAATTGATTTTAGAGAGAGGTAGGGAAGGAGAAACATCCATTGGTTGCCTGGAGCCCACCACCTTCTGGTGTACGGGATGATGCTCCAATCAACTGAGCCACACCCGCCAGGACCCAGAGGAACCCGTTTTAAGAAGACTTCATGAAGACAGGTATAACTGTTATGATTTCTGTTTGTACTACTTCCTCACCTTGATATTATCAAGCTTAGTTCTAAAAGTCAGCATAACTCATAGTTATTATAGAAAGGGAGTTTCTAGAAGAGGGGAAGGTTTGAAGAGGGAGCATTCAGAAGATTTTGGTTGATGAAGGTTGTGGTTTGGTTGTCACTAGCCTTGATTGATTTTATTTAAAATAGTGTTAATTATCTTTTTAAGTCAGCATTCTTTTCAGGTATAATTTATAAAAAATAACGTATTTTGAGCTTATAATTAATTGAGTTTTGCCAAATATATGCACCACTTCAGTGAAGTTGTAGAACATTTTCATCACTCCAGGTGTTCTTACCTCCTTCCAGTCCACATTCCCCATTCCAGACATCCTCTGGTTTTACATACCAAAATACAAAGATCAAAAGGATGAAACTTACAATGATATAGTACTGTTACCTAATCTACAAATCTTACTCATATTTTGCCACAGATGTCCTTTATCTGGTCAGATCTAATCCAGATCACAACTGAAACTTAGCTGTCCTATCTCCTTAGTCTCCCTTGATCTAGAACAGTTCCTCAAGTCTTTGTTTTTGGTGACTTTGATACTTTTGAAGAATACAGTGACTGATTTGGGATGCATTGGTGCAGCATTAGAGCTATTTTCCTGTCTTCATCTTTCCTCCTATTTATCAGCCAGTGACGTGACTCTGAGTTGCCAAGTATGACTTATATTTGCCTATAAGTTATATCTTTTTTTTCTGAATATAAATATTGGGAATATAATTGTAAAAAAATTTCTGAAGAAAAAAAAATTCTGAAGCTATAATGTATACTCCCAAGTTTCAAACCCTCAAAAATAACTATGGATATAAATTTTTTAAATATCTCTCACATCTTTTGCCAATTTTAATATTGGGTTGTTTATATGTAAAAAAAGCCTTTCCTGTAATGTGAATATTAATCCTTTGCCATAAGTTGCCAATACTGTTCCCTGTCATTTTTCTTTTAAATTTGTTTATAACATCTTTTGTTACAAGTAAGTTTTGAAGTTTTATTCAGTTAACTTTCCTTTTTTTTTGTTTGGCTTTGGAATCAAACTGTGAAAAACTTTCTGTACCCTAAGATTACATATAAATATATTTCTATGTTTTCTATTTGTTTTATCATTTTAATTTTAAATCCTAGCTATCTGGAATTTACTTACTGTACATTATATGAGGTTGCAAGCTAACTTCATTTAACATGGTGAGGTGAGGCAGGTATAATTTATATAAAATTAGAGGCCCGGTGCATGAGTTTGTGCATGGGTGGGGTCCCTTGGCCTGGTTGGCGATTGGGGCCACGGGGCCATCAGGGCCCTCTCACTGAGTCCAGGGGTAGGGACTGCAGGAGGTTAGCTGTGGGAGTGCACTTACAACCAGGGGGCAGCTCCTGTGTTGAGTGTCTGTCCCCTGGTGGTCAGTGCATGTCATAGTGACCAGTCAACTGGTCGTTTGGTTGACCGGTTGTAACAGTC